TTTACCATTACACGATAATTTCATTTTTTGCGTATTTCGCACTATAATTTTCTTAAACATCCTCAGTCCTTAAACGTTTGACATGCTAAAAGAGGCAACACTAACTGAAATACGCTTCACGATTGTTTTACCGTTACCGTTACACTTGGTCTTATGAATTAATTGCCAGTCAGGTGAAAAGCGCCACTAATAACCAAAAAATACAAAGATTGTCTGGGGTAGGTGTTATAATCCAATCAAATAGGAATTAGGCTAAGTTCAATCTTGTTTATTTTGCAGCTCTGTTACTTTCTAAAGGCCGGCAAGGCTGAATGCGAAAGGCCGAGACCAAAAATAAGTTTATACAGTAGGATCCTTTGTACGTATGCGTATACGCAGTAAATTATTTTCGACTGTACTACTAGCTTTTATAATAATGTCACGTGATAACTTGGTTAACCTAGAATTTTCAGTTATTATCACGTGTAGAATGTATATTTAATTTGTACAATACTTCTAACAGTCTTTTTACAAAAAAAACATCAAGGATGTCGAATGAAACCTCAGCATTACCTGCTGAATCGAGCGCACCAAAGCAACCTCAAGAAGATCAAGGGCCAGCTATTCGTATAGTTCCACATATTGACGGTCCTCGCCCTCTGCATTTTGATATCATCGAGCGAGAAGTTCCTGAAGGTGTATTGATAAAAATTGGTCGTTTTACGGACAAAACTCTAGCACCAAATAGGGTCACGTTTAAGAGTAAAGTTGTATCTAGAGGATGTTTAAGAAAATTATAGTGCGAAATACGCAAAAAATGAAATTATCGTGTAATGGTAAATTTGAATTTGCAATTCGATTGGTTAATTGCTTGGCAATGTGTTATTGCCTGAAACCAAATATTTTTCGTTAATTCTGTAATTAAGGCTGTTACGTAACAGAGTGATCCAAAGTAGTGTGATGCCAGTTACATGATATGTCACATGTAAATTTTTGTGTTACGGTTAATGTCATTCTATTGGTCGACATTGGTTAAGGCCAACGCTGCCCAAAATTACGGATTTTCTCAGAAATTATGAATAATTTTCCCTAGTTCCGGTCATTTTTTGTATGTACGTAAATAGACCTTCGATCTTGCTTAGTCGTTTCAATAACAGATAATTATCCTTTTAATAGTCTTTTCTTTCGCAAATGGTGGTAAATATTTAGATATAATATATTTAAATGGAAACAACGACTTGCCCAAAATATTAAACGACTCTTAAAAATTCTAGTTAGTTTTAGTAATAGGTGATCTTCATGTCCCATATCGCGTTCACGATCTTCCCCTCAAGTTTAAAAAACTTTTGGTCGTACTTAATTTCTTATGCTCATTTTTTAATCGTAATTAAATAAAAGCTTATGTTTCATAAATTATTTCATGAACCAACTGGAACAAAATAGGTACCGGGAAAAATACAACAAATCATATGTACGGGAAATGTGTGTGATAAAGAAACGTTCGATTATTTACGTACCATAGCGGCAGATGTTCACGTTGTGCGGGGTGACTATGATGAAGTATGTCATAAATATCATAAACATTAATTCAAATTTAACATATTGATGATATCTATTTAAATTAATACTTTGTATAGTTTCCAAGCTGGCCTCTCTCCAAAGTCATAACTCACGGGCCACTTCGTATCGGAGTTCTTCATGGCCACCAGGTGATTCCCGTGGGTGATGCCGAATCTTTATCAATCATAGCACGACAAATGGATGCAGACATTTTATTAACTGGTCACACTCATCGATTTGAGGCGATTGAATATGAAGGCAAATTTTTTGTTAATCCTGGAAGTGCAACTGGTGCTTATTCTGGATTTTGTACCGAGTAAGTAATTTGGTTTTATAGAATTTTAATTATATTTCATCTCTTATTCAAATTTTTACTCCTTCTGTCTTGTCTTTTAATTAATTGCAGGGATATAAAACCATCTTTTGTTCTGATGGATATTCAAGGTTCTGTTGTTGTAACCTACGTTTATCGATTAGTCGATGGTGACGTTAAGGTTGATAAAATTGAATATAGGAAGAATTATGATACAAGCAAGGTTTTATAATTTACTCTTAGATTGGAAGTATCAAAGGATATAATGTATTTTTATTATATAATTATTTAAAGTGTTAGTATAATAATTGTTTGAATAACTTCTACGTGATTGAAGGTAAATATTGTAGATATTTTGTTAAACCAAAATAAAACTCGATTAGGTCAACAAAATGGACTTGAAAACAGTTTGCAAGAATATCAGAAATTTTTTAATAAACTTTTGAATGATTTAGCTTTTACTGAAGAAATTCAAAACTCTTCTGATAATAATGAGTTTGATCAGAAATATAATGAATTTTCTAATAAAGCTTATGCTGATTTTATGGTTTTAGTTACTAAATATAAG